CGGTGCGGAGAGGCAGCTGCATGCAGGAGGGAGCATGGCCCTGCAGCCCCTAGGACGATGCATGCGGTGGGAGTGGAGATAGGGAGACTGACCCCTGCCCCAGCCAGCACGTGGAGCTCACCCCAGGGGAGAGCAGCCCCCTACAATGCACCCTGTGCTGCTCCAGTCATTGCTGGGAGCCACAGCCACAGGCTCGCTCCGTCCCAGGACTAGATTCGAACCCACGACACCATTCCCAATGCCTGAGGAAGAGGAAGCACCAGCACCCCCGCCAAGAGCAGGGCTGGACCTGAGCCACGTGCTCTCTGCTCAACCCCAGCGGGAGTGAGGCGTGTTCCTGCAGACCCCCAAATTCCTGGGACCTTCCCCAGAGGCTACCTCGATGCCTTCCCACCAGCTCCCATTGCTGGTTTTGGGCTCAGTGACCAGTCTTCCCTGGGGAGGGGAGCATTGAAACACCCCACGGCTAGGGTACGATGGCCCCTGCCACAGGTTACATGCAGTACACCACTGACTGGCAAATCACGCAATAAGTTGTAGACCAGCCACACGTGCAAAGTAATAATCATGCAATTAACTGGTGCATCAAGCATTGAAGTGTAGACCGGCTACACATGCAGAGCAATTATCATGCCATAAAAACGGCAGTCCAGCTACAAAGAGTGTACCAGCTACAAAACTAGTGCTTGAAAGTGCCTAGCAGCTTTATAGCTGGTTTCTATTCGGATTTCTTTTGAATGCATCAAGTCGCAGCCCCCTCAACCAGCACTGATGGGCTTGGCGAGACCTCACCCACCTGTGGAGACCCCTCCCGGCAGGGAATCCCAGCCCTTGCCGAACCAGTGCCTGTCGTTCTCCATGGCGCGCTGGGCCCCCTCGAACATGCGCTGGGTCATCTCGAAGAGGGGCTGGAAGAGGTGTTGGAAGCTCTGGGTGGGGTCGTGCAGGCGGAAGAAGGGGGACGGCAGGTCCCGGACGACCCTGGTGCTGGGGAGGCGCGGGCTGCGGAAGGGGGAGCGCAGCGCCTCCTGGAAGCCGCCGGCGAAGGGCGAGTGGAAGAAGGGGTGCAGGTGCCCGTAGGCCCGCGTGCTCTCCTGGAACAGGTCGTCCACGCTGTCCTCCACCAGGCCGTAGCGCTCCTCCAGGTCCTCCAGCCACCGGCCCTGCTGCTTGTCCTCATCCAGCAGCGAGTCCACGCGCTCCCCGTCCACCCAGATGGAGAAGGGCGAGGAGTGGTTCAGGAGCTCTTCCAGCTGCGGGGCAAAGCACAGTGCGGGGCATCCTATTGCTAGGGAAGATGCTCCAGGACTGCAGAGCTTGTGGGATATCCTACTTCTCTGGAAGGAGTCCTTCCCCCCACACCAAGTCATAAGACCTGCCATTCACTGGGCAAGACCCTGGGACATGCCTTGCCCTTGCAAAGCCACGGTGCTGGTAGGGTCCTGGTCTCCCCTGCACCAAACTGAAAACCCAGAGAGCCTCCAGCTGCCTGCAAGAGCCCCCCCAGTTTTCTGTGGGGTGCAAGGGGCTGGAGCAATGCTCCGAGGGACCCCCTCCTCATTCAGTTGCTATCACCCGGTCGCAGCTCACCGAGGACTCACCTGGCGTCCAACCAGCCCCGAGCCGCTGTGGCAGGTCTTGGAGTAGAAGCGCATGCAGGTCTGCTTGAGGCAGGGCTTGCACTCCTCCCACAGTGCCAGCACCGTCTCGTTGCACACATCCCGTGTCTCCGACAGCAGCTGCTCCTTCTGCCGGGCCTGCCGCATGGCCTCCTGTGCACACAGACACGCGGGCACCATGAGCCAGGACTCAGCCCCCAGAGATGCCTGCCCGCTGGGGATGGGGGAAGACCCCAGCTCTATCCCCGCTGCTGCTGGGATGCTCCCAGTTGCAAAGGTCTGGACTGAGACAGTCCTCAGCTCATAAAGGCAGAGGAGTGGAGCAAGGCAGTGGCACAGAGGGAGCAAGTCCTGCTCTCCAGAAAACCTGACCTGCTTTATGCAATGCTGGGTTGGACCCCATTGAACTGGAGAAAGCTCAGCTACTTTGCAGCTTGCACCTTTGCACATCCCCAACCCAGGGAGAGCATCCTCATGACAAGCCCCAGCTCTCAGGAGAAGCCAGCACTCGTCTTCCCACCTGGTGCAGGGTGACCTGCATCCCACAACCCAAACCTGGGGACCCCACAAAGTCTCAGGGTGAAGGGGAAGGTGATATCCCAGCTCCCTGCCTCTCCCACCTCTTTCTGTTGCTTGGTCTCCTCCAGCGTGTCCAGGATGGCCTGGTGATCCTTGCTGGTCTTGTCCATGAGGGTCTTCATCTGCTTCACCCCGTTGATGGCGTTCTCAATCTCGGTGTCGAGGTACTTGCTCCCAGCCACCGACAGCTCTGCAAGGGGGCAGGGGAGGTGTGAGCCGTGCAGGCAGCACCATGCGAGGGCAACTGACCCGGGTCTTGCCCATGCATGAGTGCATTGACCTTCTTAGCACAAGAAGCTGCCAGTGAAGAGGGACAAAACAGGGTCCCCATGGGGCGTGAGCCCCCCCCCCCATGGGGTTGGCCTACAGCCCTACAGGAGGGAGGGAGCTGGACACTGGTGCTGGACACAGAGGATGAAGGAGCCCCAGCCCCTAACCACCCCCAAGGCTTCTCTGCACACGAGGGCAGGCTGCAGGGTGCAATCTGGCTGTGGACACTGCAGTGGGCATGCAGCAGCAAGTCGTGGCAATAGGGCTGTGAGCTCACGGTGCAAGCACTTGGGGCCAGGGCTTTGCCGTGGGCGGGGAGGAGACCTGGGGTGCCCTGGCCTTGGGCATGGAGTCAAACCCAGCTCAAAGACGGGAGTTTAGCCCCCATGGGTTCTTGCAGCCTGAGCTGCGAGAGCCTCAGCCAAAGCCCTGGAGCCTGCAGGCATCCGCCCAGCCCAGCCCAGACAGAGGTGGGCTCTAAAACTGGGTTTAAACCCTTGAACTACAGCCCCCACCACTGCCAAGCCAGACTGGGGACCCACTGGCCAGAGCTATGGGTAGGGGTCACTGCAGACCTCAAGGGGCATGCAGGCAGACAGCCTGGCTCGGATGCTGCATACAGCAATGCCCACAGCATGGGAGGCAGTGTGTGGGAGGGGTCCTCAGTCATGCAGGGGTGCTGGGGGCACCCATCCACTTACGTTTGAGCTCACTGGTAGGGATCACAGCCTGGCCCCCTTCCCAGGTGAGGAGGAGCCCCAGCAGTGAGAGTAGGAGCAATGCCATCTTCCCGGCTTCTTACCACACACAGTAGGACCCTGGAAAACAGGGGAGAGAGTTATCCCAGGCCCAGCCCCAACCTGGCCAGCACTGCTCTGGGCCTCGGGGCAGGATGTCAGGAGCCGGGGCAGGAAATGCAGCCAGGGGCCAAGAACGGCCTGACCTTGGGTGCAGCAAAGCAGCGGGTGCTGGGTGCTGCAGCCCGGGCTGAGGATGGGACCAGGCTGTGCCAGTGCTCTTGCTGGCACCAATCCTGCAGGGTCCTGGCTACAGGGTCCTGCCCCTGCGCTCTGGCTCAGACTGATGCTGCATTTGGGGTCAGGGAGGGAATTTCCCCCCCGGCCACTGCCTGGGGTCTCTGGAGCATACATTAATAATCTTTTATTGACACTGGGCACTGCGTTCCCCGAGGCAGGGGTGGAAGTGATGCCCGGTGCCGTGTCAGAGGCGATGGTGATGAAGCACCCCTGAACTTTTACTGCATTTTAACCAGGGAACAGCTTTGTATGTTTTGAAAAAGTATTTTATCTAACCAAGGGCACAGAGTAGGTTGTTTAGGCTGGGGGAAGATTGCTTGTTGCGTAGTTGCTGATTGCTGGCCTCGCTAGAAGGAAAACTGTATCAACAAAGTTCCGGAGCTGGAAGGGGGGTTACTTGGGGGGGGGGCTGGAAGGGGGGTTACTTGTTGGGCTTGCTATACATGTCATCACATCAGCAAGTTTCACCTGTTATGTAGCTATACAAGGCAGATGCCCACTGGGGTGTGGGTGCTTGCTTTGCGAATGATTGCCAAGCACCACTTTCTGCGCAGAAATAAAGATTAAGTTGGATCCTTCACCCCTGTGTGTTTATTGGCACAAGTGCACCGGGCACGAACTCACTGTCCTTTGGGGACAACAATGGTAGTTTTGCTCAGAGGTCAAATAGTGGATTTGTCTGGGCTGGTTTGCACAGGGCTGATCCTGCCACAGGCAGTGGTTGGACCAGATGCGACCTCTGCAGCTCCCCTCCAGCCTTGCTGCTTTTCCAAAGCCAGGAGCGCTGGACTTGCTGCTCTGACACAGCCTCCCTCAGTAGCCTTGGGCAAGACACTTAGCCCCTCTCCAAAGAAGACAGCGTACCCTCCAGACAGGGCATCTGCCCCAATAGACAGTGGCGTGCATATCCCTGCAGCAGGTGGCCGATTGCAAGGAGGATAACGGCCTACTCCTGCTGCTAGCAGCTCATGGAGCTACTCCCTCGGCTCATGTGGCCCCCGCTCTCAGTCCCTCAGCCCAGGCAGCTGCGCCTGCAAGCTGGACACATTTCATCCCGATTTCTAACCCATGCAGCTGTAGAGCAGGGAAGGGGGCACATCTGGCTCCAGACTTACTGGGTGCCTGACCTAGCACAGCCCTGCACCCAGGGGGATGCATCGCTTGGCAAGACTCACAACAGACCCGCGTTTCAGCTTGGAGCAAACTGCGACTTTCCAGGCAACGGGACTGCACAGCTAAGAAAATGCCAGACAGGATCAAGCTCACAGCCCCTGGTGCCCAGCACCCCGTCTCACAGGGGCACAGAGCAGATGCTGTTCATACAAGGCCTGTCCGCCCTGTCCCTCTCCCCCGGCAGCAACCAGGCCACAGCCCCACTCGTGTGTTGAACCCCCGCAGGTACACCGATGCTGCAGGAACGGATCCGATCCCTTCTTGACCCCAGTTATCATCTTGGTCTCCCCCACGTCCTGTGGCAGGGAGTTCCACATGCGAACACCATGCTGGGAAACAGCTACGGGTCAGCTTTAAAACCTGCCGAAGCATCTCCTTGTCCTGAGCTCCAGAGAAGGGGTGGCTTTCTCCCTCTCCCTGCCACAAGTTTGTAGATCTCTGCCACTTCCCCTCCACTCCGGCCCTTGGAGTCTCTCCTAATCCACAAGCCTCTCTCTGCCCCCCACTAGTCCTGCTGTCCCATGAGCAATGGGGCACTTGCCCAGTCACGCGGACGGCTCTTGCAGAGCCTGGACATGTCCATGGCCTTGCAAGCAGCTGGCCGCAGGGTAGGAACCGGCAGTGACTCATGGGTGACTCAGCCCCGCTGGGGAGTTGGCACGAACCCCAGCTGGGCCGGAGAGCTGGGACCCAGCCAGGGAGCGGACACGTGCCAAGACCCGGCTTCTCGGAAAGCCACTCCGGTTCGGTAATCAGAGGGGCTTGCGTAAGAGGCAGCATGTGGCCACCCCCCTTCTCCCAAATCCCACAGGCTTCAGGGAAAGGGGGAGCTCCCCCCCCATGCACCCCTAAACAGCTCAGCTCTTGGTGGAGGGGGGAGAAGGGCTCAGGGCAAGCTGCCTCAGTCTTCCCTCCTGCTGCTTCACAGATAAATCCCACCAGGCATTGAGAACAAAGCACTGGGGCAAAGGGGTTTAAATGGGTCTTGGTCCGGGGACCAGAGCAGCTAAGGTGGACATTATGGCAGAGAAACCTTCCTGGCTGGGGGTCAGGAAGGAGGGGCAGGAGCTGGGAGCTTTGGCCCCCGCTGAGCCCCTAGGAGAGCTCCAGCTGGCCCCGAAGCCACCAAGGTCCCCATAAAGTTGAGGGAGGTAAAACAGAAAAATCAGCTGCAAAGACATTAAATGCGATGGTTTAGGATCCTACGGAGGAGGTAGGGCCTGGATAACCCTTTGTGCAAAACTTCCCATACCTATTGCCGGATGGCACAGAGCCTCCGGGCATGCGGAGGGCTCAGGAGTGGCAGGGAGGGAGCAAATCTGGACAACAGCCCTACGTGGCCCCTCACAACCTCCCCCCCACACCTGCAGCTCGACTTGCCAGACCCCCGGGGCACCAACGCTCCTGGCACGGCTGCAGCCAAGGGCTGGGAAAGCGGATGGTGAAACCCAGGGCACGTGGTTCTGCGTGGCACAGGCATGCCTGAGCTGCCCACCTGCCCTGCAGCTGTCCGGTCACAGCCGGAGCCGCCGGGGAGGGATGGGACTTGCACCTCAGCAACATGAGGAGCTCAACCCAGGGGGGCATTGACCCCTGCAGGGTTGCAACAGGCAGAAGGCATGGGCAGAGACCCCCCCCAAACCTGGCCCCTCTGGATTTCCCCAGGGCATGGGACGGAGGCAGCAGGAGAGCTGGGGGCCAGCACAACTCCCAGCCCGCCCCAGGGGAAACGCCTCCCTCTGGCATCAACCTGAAAGCAGGATAATTGCATTAATGAGGCAGCAGGTCTCCTGGGCAGGTGTGGATCATGCCCCCACACCTCTTCCCCCAGGCCGGAGGCCCAGCACAGAGGCTGGGCCAGAGAGTGCAGCTGGGTGCACTGCCTCGGGCAGCTCCTTGTACTTTCTTCTCACCGGCTCCCACGCCCAGCCTGGCCCTGGGCCAGCACCAGAAGAGCCTGAGCGACCTTGACCGAGCGACTGCATCCCACGGGAGCATCGATCGGCGCTGCGGGAGACTGCAGGGCACCGCATGGTGCATGGGGGGGGACGGGACGGGACAGGGGGTGCTGGTGACAGGACAGGGGACAAGAGCATTATCAGGGGCACATTGGGGCACAGGCCTCACTCTTGCCCCCCACAGGGCTTGGGCACAGCAGCCTGGGGGCTGCAGGAAGGGAAGGGATGTGGCCCCGATTCTGCACCCCCCCCCCCGTCCGAGTCCACCCCGCCACCACGGGTGACCCCAGGCTTGTCTCACTGCCCCAGGCCTGGAGCTCTCCTGCCCCAGCCAGTGGGGGTGGCCAAGTGCATTGTGGGAAAGTACCCCCAAACTGTGCACGAGTGCATTGTGGGAATCCTGTACTTCCCCAAAAAAGCCCCCAAACAAACACCAGCCCACGCCATTGCGCAAGGGGGGCCATGGCGCCTTGCTGTTTGCTTTCTGCCTCCCCAATCTGGTCATGCACGTCCCTGTCCACACCCACCCAGCCGCCTGCCCCGAGGCTTACGGGCACGTCCTTGGCATTGCCCCCCACCTCTTCCAGCACCCGCTTAAAAAAGGAGGTGAAAAGAACCCACCCCAAGGGCAACTGGGCTTGGAGGGGCATTGGGGGGGTGGCATTTGCTGGTGGGGAGGGGAGCAGCACGGGACACACAACTGGCAGTGGCTCAAAACCTGGCTGGGCATCCAGGTACCTCCCTTGGGAGCACCCAGATCTGGGGGTCCAGGAGTCCCCCCCCCCCAGGGCCCGTGTCCCCGTGCCCCTCGGGCCAGGGGCGAGTCCCTGCGGCACCCCTGCCCATGCACGCCCACCTCCAGCGCAGGGCGGCACTGCCCGGGCAAGGAGCGCTGCCTCCTCCACGCCCCGCGGGGACGGGGCACCCTGCGCGGCCCGACCCCGGCACGGCACTGCCCTGCAGCATGCCCCAGCCCCGGGGCCAACGGCTCTGCCTGCTCCACGCACCCTGCACCCCGCTCCCAGCCCCGGTCT